ATATGTATATATAAAAATAATCATTGCATGATAGTAAATAGTTACGAATATATAACATTCATAAAAATGTGGCAAATATAGAAAAGAACATATCAATCAAAATAAAGTTTGTACAAGAATCATTAACTACTAATACAAAAAATTTTACTTGGGGTGACCTTATAATTTTTATACTACTGATGATCTTTTTTTCTCATAAAAATAATTAATAAGTGTGTTAGTAGATCTACTCTTATAATTGATAATATGATCATCTTTTTTCTTAGATAAAATATTAATAATAATAAAGTCATAACAAAAAACTAATATGACTATCATTTTCATTAATTACTTTGAAATCATAACCATCATAAATAACTTTGAAATCTTCTATGACTCTACCAACATGTTCATTTAAATTTTCTTTAGTTGAAATTTTTCTTCATGATTTGTTCTTTTTATTAATACTCTTAGGTTATTTCAAAAATTTCTTTTGAACATATTCTAAACTATTGGGGAGACATAAACACCTATAATATTAAAAATCTTATTATTAATAATAATCTTTAGAGCTATAATTGTATCTCTAATCATATTAATTTTTTTAGCATTATCTTTCAAAATCTTTTCTATGATTACACCAACACAATTTCTAATACAATTCCTACGTAAATTAAATCCTAAGCTATTAATCTACATAGTTATTTCTCCAATTCATTTAATTTTTTGAATGCATAAGGTATTTATTTTCCTATGAATCGTAACATCTACAGATTTCATTAATTTATAGGTGAGAGTGCCTACATTCCAAGTTCAAATCCTAATATAAGTTTCATAGATTAACTTAAATGCACACATTTGTTCATAATGTGAAAACTTTTGCTTATTTAAGTTACAACCGGTCGGTGTAATGCTTGTTGCACATTTTTTACTCTATTTAGGTCATGCGTGTCATTTTTAGGGGATACCCTAGCATTGTCATGATGATGTAATGTATTCATGTAAGTTTGTTGATAAAAACTTTTACGTTAGCTGTCAACTACTTAGTGCAACCCTCCGTTTTGACATTTAGGGTTTGAAACCTGATAATTGTTGTGTTAAACAAACAATAATTAAAAAAATAAATTATAGAAGATATTAACATAAGCAATTTGACTAAATAAAAAACTATTGTATTTAATTAGATTTATTTATTACTAATTAATTATTTATTGGGATTTCATCTTGCGCTAATCAGAAATTTGTGTAATTATTTGCGTTATCATTTTTGTTGGAGAGGTTAGTTAGGTTGGAATGTTTTGAAGGAATTAGTGTATGGAAATTTTGACGTAACACAGATACAAATCTATAGCACATTTAAAAAATATAAAAGAACGATTAGATTTCTACAACATGCAAACAACAAATATCCAAACAAAACATATTGAACAAATTGTATCAACCATTAAAACAAATAGAATTTAACAAACATTACTCAAAATGTGTAAAAGTGCATATCTATACATAAAATGTATATGTATATACATAGAATAATGCCCAAACACTAAAAAAAGAAAAATATACATAAACCCCTACGGGCTCTGCTGCGGCACTATCGGAGTATATATGGCGTCGGCAGCGGACTCTGCTGCCCGCTGGGGTTTCGTCCGATGGCGATTCCCGACGCTGAAATTATCGGATTCACTTCTTTTCTCCGGCTAAGCTTGCAAATCGTCTCTCCTATCCAACCCGACGACGTCGCTTTGTTCGCTTTGTTTACTGAAGACGACGACGACGTTATGACGCGCCTTCGTTTTTGTTTCGCCTGACGATGACGAACTGTGCGCACGTCATCTTCTAAACGACGACGCGCCCCTGCTCGCATTTGTCTTCCTGCCTGATCGACGCTCTGTTCGCACGTTTCGCAGATGGACGCGCCTGTTCGACGGTTTCATCTCGCATCCCATTTTTATATTTGCGGCCTGTCATCTCTCCTGACCGTGACATCCTTGGGGGGGGGATGGCCTCGATTATCCGTTCCTATGCAAATGCCCTTGCCAGCGACTTGTCCACTACTGCTAGTGCCCCTCCAGGTTTAGCGCCTGGTTTTGCTATCGGTAAATCCTGGAATGTTCCAGAATCTTTCCACGAGGCTCTTGAAGGTGGAGGTGATCACACTTTTATTAAAAAACTTGGGAAAAAAAATGAGAAGCCTGCACTTATTCTCACAAGGGCTGAAATCAATACTCTCTCATCCTCTTGGTGTTTTTCTCTAGTGGGGAAATTCCTTTATTGTCACCCAAAACTGGAGATCATTAGGATGGAGTTTGATGTTATGAAACTATTAAAGTTTGAGCAGTTGAAACGTTGGCCTACTTGACGGTAGACATATACTTATTCATCTATCTCATGATACAGATTACACTCGC